AAGTGGGTCACCTGAATTCCTGATAAAATCCCATCCCTACAGGCATGGCAATTCTGTCCTCTGGCAGGCAGGATTTGTTACCCTCATCTGCTGAGCTGCTGCTCTTTGGGTTGGCTGAGCAGGGAAGAGGAGAGAGCAGGCACCCAACAACCTTACTGAGAAAAGCAGGCAAAAAAGGCAGGTCATTCAGATCCTCAGCAAGAAGCCGTCTGTCCTTGTAGGACTTCCAGCAAAGCACAAGCTGAGCTGGAAAACACAGGAAGGCTGGGAACTGGAGACACAGTGGTAACAGTGGAGAGATACCAAACTGATAGTTTAAATAGACAAGATTCAAGCAGATTATCACCTTTAACAATTCTATTTCCTAACCTGAGACCCCAGTGAAAGCAAAATAATAAGATTGCTTCAATTCACAAAAAATCCCATGATGCCTAGAAAGGAAAATGCTTCACACTGGAGCAGGAGAGCCAGGAAGGCCAGTGGAGTCATGCTGCTGAACGGGCAGCTCAGTCAGGCATCTCCTTGTGTTGAAGGAGCACCCACAGGCAATAAGACTTGGGTTTGAAAGGGACTCTTCACTGCCTTTTTTCCCCCTGCATAATCGAATCAAGATGGTTTTATTATAATTATAATTAATATTTTCATACAGGATGCAAATGGTAATAGAGTTCCTCCATATCGCCTGCAAAAATAATATATATGTATTTAACTGCCAGAACAAGCTATTCTTGAACATAAACTGATGCTTAGCGAGACTTTTCAGCTTCTCCCAAAGGGAAATATGTCTGAACTAAATGCATTTCTCCCATTTGGCATCATTACATCTTAATAGTATTTTGCATTTTAATCCATTCAAGGTGGCATCTAGGTCATCAGATCCCATTTTGACCTTGAAGTGGTAGAATGTGTCAATCCTGGCTCAGTAGGGTGCTTTCAGACGTCTGTCTGCTGCTTATTACAAATACAGTATGTATCACATTATGGCCCCTGGCATGAATAATGTGGAGGTACCAAAAATACAGTTGCCATGGTAACAGCTTCATCATGATGACAAGGCTAGGTGGAAAAGACTGGCCTGGGAAGAGGTCAGCTCCATGCTGATGGTGTTTTGGAGGGGAATAGAGCATGAAGTATTGGCCAACTATCACACAAAATGTCACTGAAAGGGGATGACTGAACCCCATGGCTCAGGGCAGCTCTCCCCTGTGGTTCTTGATGCAGAGCAAGCGGCTGTGGCTACCCAGCCCTTCGGAGGGGCAAGTCAGTGCTTTAAGGCACTTTAGTTCCAACCCCTCCAGAAATAGATCTGGTTTTCTCTGTGGGACTCCTGCATTGGCAGGGCTTACCATCAGCACCGGGTGACTCCAGCTAAGTCTCCCGATTCCTCAGCATTTGCCCAAGTTCCACACCCAGCCGGTGTTTCCTGCACTTTTGCATTGCCCTCTCAACCCAGGTTAGATGCTGGCCCATCTTGAGGCTTTTTCCAAGGACCAGCATCTTCCAGGTATCCAGCTGGGATTGCCTGAAGTTCCCCCCAGTCTACTGTGGGATTCCTTCCACAGTTAACTAATCCTCTGTGATCTCACCACCGAGGTTTCCTTCAAGTATATTTGTGATCTGAAACTATTTCACAGAATTCTTAGGAAAGGCAGTTTTTTAGCCTCAAGGCTGTTCATGAACAGCTTACATTGATTGTATGCTATTTGTGACATGCCTTTGATTGCCTGAATCACTGGGCATTGTTTCTGGTCTTCAGCTGAGTAGCTGAAACAATTATGCTCCTCCTGACAGGAATTAAAATAAACGTACAAGTCATCTGTGACAGAATTCTGAAGCCACTTGAATTGGTGCTTCAGTTTCTGAATGCCCAATGCCTTTTTGTATTCCCATGATAATTTCCCATCAGCAATTGCAGAAAAATCACACTTCACATTTAAGGCATTCCTGGATGATTTTGAAGAGTTGCTAGTTTACTAGTTATCCATTTCCTCTAGGGTTAAAGCCCCACATTGCCTCTGCTCCTATCAATCCATAATCACTCCAGTGCAGAATAGCAGTGGGAATTGAGCAATAAACACCACTTCAGAAAATAGTTTATCTAAAGATAAGACTCCATCAGTTTATGTTAGGAGATGGGGGACTAGCTAGAAGAGCTCTGTGGCACTCTCTTTAAGGGTAAAATTCCCACGTCATTTTGGCAACAAACTTTTTTTTTTTTTCCATAAACAAGCTATTTGGAGGTAGTTCCTCCAGCTTCTTCAAGGTTCTCAGCTATGACCTGTTTCTTTTTGTGTACAATGCTGATCAAGAAAGGATATTCCCATTTGCAATCTATTGGAGGATTAGAAAGCTCCTGAAGTACTTACTATTGAATTATGTCCTCACAAGGCCCACTGCCATAAAGGACAGGGGTCTGCTGAGCTAAAGGAAGTGCTTATTTCCCACGTAGAACTGATCCCCTTTTCTGGAAGGAAACCTGCAATCACACTATAATTAGCTGGCTTCTGATTTATTTCTGTTTTATTTCAGGGAAAGTCACAGGCTGGATAGAGTGAAAGACACAGAAGCCAGGATAACGAGAAGTTTAGGCTGGGATTTTCAAAAGAGCCAAAGGTTACATCTCTGCTGCACTGACAGTGGCTGTGCAATACAGAAATATTTGACCTATTCAGAAAAGTTTTGTGCCTGCTGGAAGGATAAATTAGTCCAGGCTGAGCTCTGTGCTTGTGAAGTTAAACTACTATCAGTAATGAATTTAAGATGCCCTCCTGCATTTGGCTGCATAGAGTGGGAAGAGATGTAGCTACATGGAACATTTCTATTTCCACGGCTTCAGACCTAGGAGCTACACACCTACAGATTATTGTAAAGCCTCCGGTTAACCCATTCTAACCCATGTCTGAATAGCTACCTTTGGAATTCCCAACCTGCAAGTAACCATAACTACACAGCTAGAAGAATAGCTTTGGGGTTCAAACACTGGGCTTGCTGGGTTGCACACCTTCCACCCAGTTTTTAATCTCGCTGTGTCTTGCTTCTCCATTATTAGGCAAAGATAACTTCAACTCCATTTTTACAGGTTTACTGCAGTGATTAATTCTTATGGAGGTAGAGCACTGCTAGGATTAGCTAGCTAGGCACTGTATAAACACATATTCTAAACTCACGTGGGATCACCACAGAAAATGAATAGAGTGAGATGTAAGGGAAGAGGTTTTTTTTAGAATTGCAGTTCTAGCACCTACAAACTGCAGAAACACTGGTTGGAGGTGGGTGAGGAGAGATGAGGTGGGGTGGGCACACACAGAGGAGGCTACGCCAGCACTGCACATGTGCTGTTTGCACAGAGGCAGCAGGAGAGAGCTGCTGAACTGGGAATTTTTTTTTTTTTGTTCTCATACAAAGGCTTTTATGTGTCCATTTCAACTATTATACTGATGCCACAATTCTAGGTGATATTTAGTGGAGTCGGCTTGAAGAACCTTCCCTGGAATTTAGCCAGCTCAACTCATGTTCCCATTGCTCCCCAGAAGCACCTCCCTTCACACCCCACACACCCACACACCCCACCCCCAACTCCTGGTAGATCCCCTTCCTTGCATAAGTGCAGACTGCTTGCAGATTCAGCAGCAACTCTAAAGGACTGTGAAACTGTACTTCTTTGGGACACTGTGTTGCCAATTATTAGGCCTAGCAAAAAGGACACAGCCAGCATAAAGATGAACCAATCACCAAATTGTATTTGATACAAAAGGGTCAGCACACGGGTGAGCGCTGGGGGTACAGACAAGTCAGTCAGATCATACATAACTGACATCAGTCCCATTGACCCCAACAACGACACCGCACGACCAACAATGGTGAAATGCAGTCTGCCATAGAAGGGACGGGAGACAACAGATACAACAAGCCAAGCCCATCAGACCAAGGAAGCCACATACTGAATCTCCACACAGCCCCTGTTTACACAAGCTGGACCTGACTGGAGCCCAGTCCCAGGGAGGCGGGAAGTCCTTCTCCAACAGAAAACTCTGCACAGGGCAT